GACGGCCAAACACAACCACCCCTGCAAATGTCTAAACACATCGTCTTGGTCCCAACTGAGTGACGTGCCACATCCCTGAACCCATCACTCTGGCCAAAGGGATGGGATATTCCAATTGATCAAACCATCCAAATTACATGGTTAGATAAGAGAAAAGGGTGATTTCTCAAAGGAGATTCAAGGCACTTTACACACATTATTTCATTTAATACTCGCCTAACCTCAATTTGTGCACGAGGAAACTGAAGCCCAAAGAAGTTAAGCAACTTGCCCAAGATCACATACTAGTAAGGAGTCTAGCTGGAATTCAAACTGAGGTCCAACTCAGAAACCATGTGCTAACAAAAACTAGACACCATCTCTCTCAATGTTCTTACCTGCATCCCTGACTCACCCCTAAGCAAACCCTCTGAAGCCCTTCTGACGGAGCCTGTCCTGAACCTTAACACACTGAAACTATCCCATCGCTACTAAAATCAGCTGCAACTGCCTTTCGTCGAGTGTGATTCTCTTTAATTCAAGAAAACATACCACCTTACACTTGCGAGGTGCTTTACAATAGCTGACACAAGAGACATGAATGAAGTCTGTGGGTATGGGCCAGCCCCGTGGCCAAGTGGTTAAGCTCATGCGCTCTGCTTCGGCAGTCCAGGGTTTTGCCAGTTTGGATCCTGGGCACGGACATGCCACTGCACATCAGGCCATGATGAGGTGGCGTGCCACATAGCACAACCAGAGGCACTCACAACTAGAATCTACAACTATATACTGGGAGGCTTTGGGGAGAAGAATAAAAAGAAAAAAGGATTGGCAACAGCTGTTAGCTCTGGTGCCAATCTTTAAAAAAAAAAAAAAAGGAAGTCTGTGGGTAGCAGGAAGCAGGCCCGTATACCCAACCCAGAGCCAGGATGGGGAGGAGCAGACTTCATCACTTATCTGGACATCAGGGGCAGCCCAATCTCTATTACTCACTAGAAATGGTCTCATTAAAGAAAAATCCCATGTTGTTTCTGCACTGTAAATGTGCCAGCAGCTCAGTAGGAAACATTTCCAAACAGCAAAAATGTTAACCAGAAAATGACAATCTGATCAGAGAAATAGAAAATCTTTTATATGCAGCATGTAAGTGAGCAAATTTACAGATCAGTTGCAATGTAAAAAGTAACATAATTTAGGGCCAGCCCTGTGCCTGAGTGGTTAAAGTTCCGGGCGCTCTGCTTCAGCAGCCTGGGTTCGCAGGTCTGGATCCCGGCATGGTCCTACTCCGCTCATCAGCCATGCTCTGGTGGCAACCTATATACAAAATAGGGGAAGACTGGCACAGCTGTTAGCTCGGGGCTAATTTCCTCCAGAAAAAAAAAAGGAAGATTGGTAATAGATGTTAGCTCAGGGTGAATCTTCCTCACCAAAAAAAAAGTAATACAATTAATAATTTCTAATATTCCAGGGGAAAAAAGTTTTATTACATTTAAGCAAAGAAGTCAACTAACAAGATTTTACCTTTTTTGTTACTAGAAAGCCATAAAAGGATCCATCTTTTTTAAAAGTAAGAAAGTAAATACTTTTTCAGAATCACACAAAAACATAAACCCAAAACCAAAGAGAAGCTGTAAGGATTCTTAAAAGGGTCCTCAAGCTCCTCCCACCTCAGAGCTGAGACAAGACTCAGCAGTCTCAGACGAGGACTCCACCTCTGGCAGAAGCCTTCCTCAGCACTGAACAATCCTGAGAGTGAGAGTCATAGTCAACCTCAGGGCCTCCCTTCAGCTGACTCCTGAATGAGTTCAAGTTACTAAACTCTGTCCCCAGCCCTGTGTGATTTCTCTTTTTTTTTCAATCAAGGTATAGAAACTGTTCAGAACTATTCTAATTTTTGTTGACATGAGTTTGAACTGAAATGAATACCCTATTAACATTGGGTAAAGAGCTCAATACTAGGAATTAAAGAACACTGCAAGGCAACATTATCGTATGCCCTTCTAGGGTGTCCAAAATCACCATCTGATAAATTAAATGAAAAACTATCATTCATTCATATTGATTAACACAGGCGGTATCCTAAATCTTTCTTCTCTTTCTAAAGATAAAATAAAGTGTGATTAGACGTCAAGTGACAGATCACTTGTGCTTTTTTAATTCCATAAATTCCTTTGATTTTCTCCTATGAGCTCATTTTTATCCCTGAGCATTTCCCTCAAGGAGACTCAAAAGATAGAAAACAGACCAAAAAAGCAGAGGTCTGGGAGGTCAAAAGGCCTGAGCTCCAGATCCTGCTCTGTTCCCCAAATGAGGAGACCTTAAAGTCACCATTTAACCTCCCTATCTCTTAGTTTCCTCATCTGACAAATGGGAACACTTGCTGCTTCCTTCATAAGACTATCATGAAAATCAAATGAGGCCAGTGATATGAAGCACTCTAAAGGCTTCAAAATGCTATAAAAACATTAGATACTGTTATAACAATTAATATATTCCTAGGCAAAAAGGGCCAAATATACATGAATTCTAGATTCATTATTCATATGAATTTACATGGACAAGGGAGCACATAGATATAGTTTTCATTTTAAGTTAACTGAAAAATTAATTCAATCCCAAAGAATGGAGAGAAATAAACTAACCTGTCTACATCCTGTTAAAATTGATATCCACAATACAGGAATTATTGTGTCTCTGAATTAACACTGTATTCACATTTTTTCAACCTAAAAATTTAAAACTGCATGACTTATCCAAGTTCTGTCACTTACAATCCAGGATCAGTAAATGGGGACAATAACGTGGGATTGATATGAGGATTGACTCAATATGTGCAAAGCACTTCGGATCATGTTGGCACACGGTACCTGCTTTGCGAATGTTTGTGCTACGGTACAGCAATGGACAATAAGCCAGATCTGGGTTCAGACCATTGCCCCAATCTCTGCTAGATATGTGATTTGAGCCACAGGTTCTCTCATCAGTCTAACAAGGAAAATAAAAGATTGAAAAGATACCTGATATACTGAAGGTGTTCAAGAAGTGCTGATATTGGTGGTTTTGCTTAGAGTAACAATGCCTAATAGTATTAATACTAGTAAACGGAGCAGCTTCCTAAATTCTTTAATTTCAGTGGTTTATTTAGGTCCAATACAGTTCTGAAGAGACAGCTGCAACAATCTTGGCAGTAGCAAAACGGGTGAGCCTTTAAAGTGGTAAGTATAGGATGAAGTTCTCAAGCACAATCCCAAATTTAAGTCTGTTTCAGACTCACCACTGCCAAAATATTTTAAGTAGCCAGAGATACATTTACCCTTGAGAAGCATACAATTATTCCTTTACCTTCAACTTCTCACAATCTCAACTCTCCTACAAAGCTTCTGTTGTCTAATCAATCTAGTAAGCAATGTTATTCCACCAGAACAAAGCCATGTGTTGCTAAACAATTTGTAAGATTTCCCAGTCTTTGTAAACACCATTTCTTGCAAATTTTAGTGGAAAAATGAAGAGCTCTTGGAAAAGCTTTAAAAAGTCCAGACTTTTTTTCATTTTCATTTCCCCAAATTATTTTCATTTTTCATTTCCCCAAAAGAGAGGGTGGAAAGAAAGGAAATAATGAAGACTCTTTTTTTAAATAGGGGGAAGTATCAAAGAATAGAAAAAGAAACATCTCTGGATAGGGCCAAAGGCTAGGAGGACTGTCCTCCTCACCTGGGATTCCACTTGACTCCTCTTTCTTCACGGCTTCACTTCCTGGCCACAGACAAATATGCTACCTCCTCCTCATGAGGAGGCTTCGTTCTCAATTCCTTGCATTTATTATCATATGCTATCCTCTACCACTTTTTTGGACCTCAAGACAGTTAAATCAGAGCTTGCTAGAGAAAAAAAAAATCTGAGAAACCATCTTCTAACATGCATTTCCTTTGCTACAGACTTCCAAGCTGTCAGGTGGTCTGATGATTGAGAAGACTGGCGACTTGCAGAAGATTAGAACAGGACTCTGGGTCAAGAACCCAAGCCCTCCCTCTCCTCAGGCTGGGTGGTTTCCCCACACTTGCCATATTTTAGCATTGTATTTCTTGTGTTTCTTATGTCTCTGTTTCAAGTTTGTGCTATTTATTCCCATTATCAAGCAAAAATTCCCATTGCCGATCTATTGCTTGATCTTTATTTTATAACCAAAATATTATATCTTAGAAATCAAATAAACTATCACTCTCAAACAGCCTTTTGATGAGAAACCAGCACCTGAATTACAAAAGTATGGGAAAACTTCTCAATATCATTTAGTTTTTTCCCTTCTTATATGCTTATTTTCGTAATAGAATTATGTCAGCAGGGACTAAAACAATGTCACCTTGACTACCTGACTCTTTTATGGCTTCTTATCTGCAATAAGCTTAACTTCATGCCCAATCACTTCAAAACACTTTTGAAAGGATGATTTCCATCACCATTATACACAAGTGATTGGTGTACACACAAGTAATAACAGTAAACATAAAACAATTTCCATGTGAAAAACGTCATTGAAATCTAACAAATCCAACATGTGTCTGCTGAAATCCAAGCCACAGGAGTTATTCAACAACCTCAAACATTTCAGGGATTCACGTCTTCCCCAAGTCACCTAGCCAACTGTCAAAACAGAGAGGGGGGCAACAGAAAATTCTCACCTTACAAAAATCAGGTGCTTTTCAGATATAGAAAAGAATGGAGAGAAAGAATACCCAAAAAACTATCTAAAGAATGGAAAATAATAATCCTACCACAGTTACCTCTGGATAAAGGATTCTCCCTACACCGCTTTAAATAAAAAAATAATTCTAATTTCATTTGGACAGTTGTTGCTGCTATTTGTTTTCTTGGCTAAGCCACCTACATGTGAAATTTAATTATACAATGCAGATACCTGGACCACTGAAGTCACATGTCCCACTTCAACAAGATTAGAAACAATAAGTATTTGATTACACGCTCTCCAATAAAAAACATATATATAAATAAAATGCAATTACCTTTCCAAAGTCACGAACATCAAACAGGTCAAACGCCTCGAAGAGTTCACTCTTTCTCATTCCAAATGTCTCGCAACAGGCCGTGAGGAATGTCCTTATGTTCTTCAAACAGAGAAACTGAGGAACCGGAAATAGCTATTAGTATACAGTGAATCATTCTGAAGGCTACCTATCCTCTGTCACACCCAGAATGCTATAAAAATGACAGGGAAGAATCAATCAGCTTTCGAGCTTGCTTTTCAATTGCTCCTTTAGCAGTATTTATTGAGTACCCACTCTCTCTCAAGCACATGTGACACAGCTGTGAGCGATACAGACAAAATTTCTGCCCTCATGAAACTGACATTCTAATAAGAGAAGACAGACAAGAACAAACTCAGCAACACAAACAAAAAAGTAAATTATTTTTATTTTCATATGGTGCTAAGTGCAACAGAGAAAAATAAAGCCAGAAGGAGGGATCAGGAGTGCTGGTGGGGATGGGGTGGCAGCAGCTTAAATGGGATGGTTAGAGAAGGCGTCAATGAGAAGAGGACGGATAAGCAGAGATTTGAAGGTGGTGAAGGAGCAACCCACGCAGAATTACAAGAAAGAGTATTCCAGTATGAAGTAGCATCCCACACCAAGGTCCTGAGGCAGAAGGGTCTGAGGAAGGGGCCAATGTGGCTAGAGCAGAGTGAGTGACAAGGAGAAAAGTAGGAGGAGTGCAAGAAAGGTAAGGGGCCAGATGCTGAAGGACCTTGTTGGACAGGCTTTTACTCTGACTGAGATGGGCCATCACTGGAGGCCTTGGGGCAGAGAAGGGATATGATCTGAAGTTCTATGAGGGTCTTCCAGGCTGCTGTTTGAATATAGATTGAAAGGAGCCAGAGCAAGGAGAGAGACAAAAAAATGAGACAGGATGCTACTGCAATAATCCAGGTGAGAGACAACCACAGGAAAACCAGGTGTTACATTTTGATGATATTAAATTTGAGATGCTTATTAGTCATCCAATGGGATGTGGGGCAGCAGGCAACTGGATATACAAGTCTGGAGTACAGGGTACAGAAGCGTAATCCAGACATAACTTTGGGAATCTTTAGAGTATACAGAACATTTTTAACCATGATATTGTCTCAGGTGATTTTGGGAGAAAGCAGAGGAGATGAAAGGATCTGAAGCCAGATTATCTTAGGAGATCAGGAGAAGAGGAGGAGCCCACAGAGGGGCTGAGAAACAGGGACTAGTGAGGAAGGAGACCAGGTTTTCCCTGAAGCCAAAGAAAGAGTTTCTAGGGAGGAGTGATAAAACTGTGTCAACTGCTGATCATGGTCAAGTAAGTTGTTACGACATGCTTCTATTTGATGGGAATAACTTGAGAGAGAGGGGAAAGTTGGTTATGCAAGAGAGGGGGACAGTCACCCAAATGAAGTCCTTGAGTAGGCAAAGGGGAGGCAGATCTGGTGCTCAGGTGGGAACTTGACCTTGAAGAAGAGCTTGCTCAGCTCAACAACACTATCAAGAGGGACAAGAGGGAAGGCAGACTCTAATGACAACCTGAAAAACCAACAGAAGTTACTTTCAGTCTCTCAGACGCTAAGATCCGCCTAAGCAAAGTACACACGTCCCCTGCAAGTGAATTCTTTTTGGAAATGTTAGCCACAATGCCACACATAAAAATAAAATTATTAGCCTCCAACAACTAAGAAACTTATTCGCTGATTATTGCATCTTTGCTTTCTTTTTTTTAAGCACCATCAATGTTTTATTTTGTTGTGTTGTTTTTCATCTCGGTTTGGTTTTAATTTGCAGAAAGCACATTTTACTTGCTCTACATTTGAAATGTCCAGATTTTTCATGGGCTTAACTCAGACGCAGTTTTACCCTTTACAGGAATCCTTCTCAGAGGCTTAAATATTTCAGGAGGGGTTAAAACCACAGGGGAAGCATCGTAAACCTTTTGAAGCATGATGACAGCAGCCAATGGGCACACGCAGGCACTGCTTTCGCTTTAAAAAATTCATAAGAGACCTTTAAGACACAGAATCACTCCGCATGTAGCTCTTCCACATAGAATCGCTTATTTACAGATTAAAAGCCTTGCATTCTGCCAAGACAGACAATAATTACTCCCTTGAGGATTATGCAACTGCTCTTTTGCAATATTTTTTACATAATTAAGTGTCCAACTCACAGCTCACTAAGGAACAAAGGCATAATTGCATATGCCACCCTCTGAAGATGTCTCACCAAACTCAAATTTTCCCCTTGTGTAGGAAAAACGACAGTAGACTTCCACTCCAGCACTTTGATCATCAATTCAGAGAAGTAAGTTTTGCTACTGAAAGTTTAAAAAAAATTATGACGTGGTCATTATTGCATGCATACAAGAGGAGATTTAAAAACAAGTCTTCCCCTTACTTCTAGAACCAATCGTAACTTTATTTGCCCCCTAACTGGCTCAATTCTATAGAATTCCACAAATATTTACTGGATTTAAAAAAGGTCACTGGTATGCTCTCACTTTTCCAGGCAATCATCAAATTTGGTCACCCCTTTATTTATGTATTTTTTCAACAGTTTTTGAATGCCGACAGGGTTCCAGACACTGCAACTGCTAACAATGAATAAGATGAGGCTCTGCCCCAAGCTCCTCTATTAATCTTACCTGGATATTTTCACAGTTATCCAAAATTTGGCTAAAAACACTAGGATCACACTGCTTTGGTGCTCATGGGTGTCAGGCTCTGGGCAAGCACAAAACAGAGTTCAGGGATAAAGGAAGGAGGCCCTAATGCCATGACAGGAGCCCTGCACAGGGCTGGGCCTCACAGCCCGCCTGCCCACCCCAAGACTTCTGCTTCCTTTTCACCACGTTGAACTTTTTCTTCGTCCGGTTTAGTTTTAAAAAGTTCAAACCAAAAGACAAGCTGAAAGAATAGTATAATGAACATGTACTCAACAACTGTAACATATCAGCACATATGCTTTTGTGTACCAATCCTTCCTCTATTTATAAAATTTATTTTGCTGAAGTATTCAAAGTAAGTTGCAGACATTACAGTCACTTCACACCTAAATAATGCAACTCACATCTCCTAGGAATAATATTTTCCTACAAACCCACGATAGCGTTATCATGCCTAATTAATAATTCCATACTATCTAATATCCATTCTATATTCAAATTTCCTCAATTGCTTTTTACACTATCTGTCCCCCCCAACCCCCAGCCTAGGATCCAATTAAGTTTTACCCATTGCATTTGGTTGCTTGCTCTTTGCAGTATTTTTTAATCTAAGAATCCTGCTTTTTTTCTTTTTTCTTTAAATGACATTGACTTTTGAAGTCTAGATTGGTTGTCTCATAGAATGTCCCACATTTTGCATTTGTCTGATTGTGTCCTCTTGATATCATTAAACCTGTTCCTCTATCACTTGTATTTCCTATGAACCAAAAGCCAAGTCTAGATACAAGTTAAACAGTTTTGGCAAAACTACTTCATACTGTGAACTTCATATTTCATCACATCAGAAGACGCAAATGTCAGGTTATCTCATTATTATGAATGAGCTTCATCACTTGGTTCAGATGGTTGCCACCACATCTCTCTATTGTAAAGGTACATGGACCCCTCTAGATCAGTAAAAAACCTGGGGGTGATAATTTGGTCCCATGTGGCTATTCTACTTCCCAATAATTTTTCACTATGGATTTAGCATTCACTGACAATCCTTACTTCAATTATTCCATTTGGGACAGCAACATAGTGGTTTTTCTAATTCTGTCATTCCTTCCACATTTATTAACTGGCATTCTTACCTAAAGAAGAGTTTCCCCTGGCCTTTCTCCTCTTTACTCTTTTTTTTTTTTTTTTTTTTTTTTGCTTGTGTAATAATCAACTGCCATCATTATTCTTTTCTCTTTTTTGTTGAGGAAGATTGACCCTGAGCTAACATCTGTTGCCAATTTTTTTTGTTTGTTTGTTTGAGGAAGATTATCTCTGAGCTAACATCTGTGCCAATCTTCCTCCACTTTGTATGTGGGTCACTGACACAGCATGGCTGACAAGTGGTGTAGGTTCACGCCTAGAATCCGAACCTACAAACAAAGGACACCAAAGCAGAGCATGATGAACTTTAACCACTATGCCATGGGGCCGGCCCCACCATCATTATTCTTTTTGATGTTCATATTGTCCCAAATTTGGCCACTGGGGGTCCCTTCAAACTGGTTCATGTGTCCTTTCACATGACTCCATTTTCTTATAACAAGTTGTCCTAGGCTCACCTCATATTTTCTCTGCTCTAGTTCTGGAATCAGCCATTTCTCCAAGCAGATCTGTTTCCATTTATATGGTAAATGATATTTAGAAACGAAAGTCTGAGCACCAGGCTGCGCCCAGATTACATGGGCCAATTACATCAAATGGACCAATAACTCCACCCTTTGCTTAAGCAATCCACCACTTGCAACAGAAAGAGTTAATGTAAACAAGATTGGCCTAACTGATTGATAGTGTATCTCTCAGATAATTCTACAGTTTTCTCTGTGGAGTGCCTAATAAGATAACTCTTATCTCACTCTGTTAAGAAAAAGGAAACAAGTTCACTGAAGAGGACCGATGAACACATGAGTGTGTCTTAAGCCTAGAGATGTGATTCTGTTTTGACACAATATTATTACAGTGTAAGTTTTTTCTTCCAGTCTATAGATTCTTTGAGATTAGAAGCCATCCGATAGTTTCTGGTTTTATCTGCTGCATCCTGAAACATTCTGCCTCCAGAGATGGTCTATGATGCACAAGGACAAGCACATCTCATTATTTTACAACTATACCTTACGTTTGAAAAATTATTTGACTTTGCTAAATCACCTAGTTTATTTACATGAGACAACTTCAGGATTTTTGGGAATTTAGGATTAGGATTTCAGCAACAAGAATAACTTTATGATTTTTTAAATATTAAATGTATCCCTACATGAAAGATACCAAAATTAAGGATACACAAAAAGTCTAAATAGCATTTTCCCATTTAATAAACATTAATGAGGTGTCTGTTATGTACTAGGCATCATAAAGTATACTCCCAATTAGATACTGATGTATTAATTTATTAAACACTTGCTAATTG